GAGACACACGCCCCCCCCCAAAAAACACGGGCTGTGGGGGGGGACAACACCTTTTTTAGATTTTCTTTTTTTTTAAAAAGAGGCGGGGTTGATAAAAAAAAAAGTTTTTCGAGAGAGAGAGAAAAAAAAAAAAAAACCTTCTGAGAAAATCTACGCGGGCGGGGGGGCTAAAAAAAAAAACCCACGACAAAAAAAAGCGCGCGCCTCTTTTTTTTTCCCCCCCCCCGGGGGCCGGCAAAAAAATTTTTTGTGTTTTTTTCAACACCCCCCCCCCCCCCCCCGGGGGGATTTTTATATTTTTTGCCTCCCCCTTCGGGCCTGACCGCGGCGGGCCACCCCGGAGGCCGGCCTTTGGCGCGCCGCCCGCACCTCCACCCGGGCCCTGGCCACCCTCCGGCTGGCCGCGCCCTGGGGTCAGCCGACCTGGCTTTGTCAGCTCCCTAACCTGGAAGTCAGGGCCCCCGGGCGGCGGGATCTCTCCCGGGGCGCGAGGGGGCACCGGTGGCGAGTCTGACCCTCGATGCGCGCCCAGGAGGTGAAGGACTGGCCGGGGAGCCTCGGGGGCGCCGGGGCCTGTGTGCGCCTTGGCTGCCCCTGGGCGGTGCAGCGGGCACTCGCGGTGGCCTATACGTTCGGCCTGCGGCTGGGGACCAGCGCGGGCAGGGATCCCGGCGCCTCCGGCGAGGGGACATTCGGGCGCCCTTGGAGATGCGGCTCCTCACCTTGAGGACCCCTGCAGTCGGCAACCGCGCTGCGCAGGCCTTGCGAGAAGGAGAAACCGGTTCTCAGCCCAACTTGTTGGGGAGCCGTGGCTCCGACCCCTTCGCACACCCTCCTCCTAAGTGCCTTAAAACTTCAGCGCCACAGCGAACCTCTGCGAGGCGCTGGCATCCTCCGCGCCCACCCGCGCGGTCCTGCCCCGTGCGGGGTGCGGCCGAGGGCGCCCCTAGGTCGGCGGTGCCGGACCCGTCACTGCGCTCCCCCTTCGCCTCGCCAGTGTGCAGTGAACAGAGGGCGCCAGGGCAGCTGCGTCCTCCCCTGCGCTGGGCGCCCAGGCAGCCTCCGGCGGGAAGGCGTGGGGCGGCGGGAGCTCAGGGCCCGTTCTCCGCGGGCGACACCGGGGACCCCGGCCCTGCGCCATCTGGACGCCGAGCGCGGGCCCGTTTGAAGTGGTTGGAGGGGAGGGGGGGGGGCTCTTTGTTCCCCAGGCCGCTCTGGCTCGAGGCCTGGAGGTGGTTTACTGGCTTCGATGCCTTTGAACCTATTCCCAGGTGACCCGGGCTCAATTAGGCCCGGGCCTGAGCGGGGCTGTCAGGCAAGCCGCGAGATCAAGGGCGGGCCGGGCCCTTTTATTGAAGTTGAACTCGGGGCTGCAGAGCACTCGCCTCGGCCAAACTAGAGGAGGGCGGTCTGTGCTGGCCGGCTGTTCAAGGGGACGTTTCCCCAGCAGCCGGGGAGCGAAGAGCAGGCCCTCACACAGACCTGGCTACCTAGCGGGGCTAATTGCTTCTAGTTTCTTCCTGACCCACGGGCTTCGAAATCCTGTGACTAAAGGGTCCTCTGGAGCCGCCCTGCCCAGCGCCACAGCCACCGGCCTGATTACCCCGTGCCCGGTTTATCCAGCGCAGCAAAATAGCTTTCTGACATCCCCTTTCTTTAAAATTCTAAAATAAAAATGTCAGGAACAAAAAGCGAGAGGAGCCTTTCCCCTGCGGTCCCTTCGGCGCTGGGACACAGCCGTCCTGGGCTTGGGCCTCTCCGTGGGCCTGCGTGACCGGGGTTGCCTTTCCGGGTGTGCTCTGCTCCGCTCAGAGCCAACAGCAGCGCTTTGCTGCTCTTTTACTAACTCCATGTGTCACTGGGTTGGGGGTCCTAGGACCCATCCCCTCGTTGCCCGTCCAGCTTAAATGAGCCCAGGGACACCCCTCCCCTGCAAACCAGGAGCTTTTAGGGAGGAGAGGAGCCTGCCGGCATGCAGCCTGCTCCACTCCCCTGTGTCTGTCTCTCCTGCTGGTGATGAGCATCAGAGCACTTCCTGGAAGTCAGGTCTACGAGCCTAAATTACAGCAATATGGTGCAGGTGTCCCTAGAAAGGGCTGACATCACAGGTAGGCAAGATTCTCTTTTAAACGCCCCTTGAAACATTTCTCCTTGGGTGATGGCTCAGGAAGGCATATGACAGGCCTTCGCTACATTGGCTCTGCCATTGCACACAGGACAATGGCACCACGACATCTCTCTCCGTATGTCCAGTGGGTGGGTGCCCACTCTCCTTTCCATCCTTCCTCTACTGTTTCTCTCTGAATTGCAGGGGATGGGAAGCTCAAAATGACCTTTCTCAGACCCTGGCAACCCTGGTCTGTAGGATGCACTCTTATGGGCGCGGAAGGGAGAAGGGGCCATCCACTCTGCGGGTCCTGGTGAAGTCCAGTTGGCAGCACGGTGTCTGGTCGCTGATCGGGAGTTCGGGTACGAACCTGCATCTTCTGAGCGGAGCACAGCAGCAGTGCACAGCTGGGAGCTGGGAGCGCAGCTTCTCTATTCGGGGCACGTCTGGAACCCTCGTCCTCCTGAGGCTCCAGTCTGCAGTGCAGCTCAGGGAAGTCAATCCCCAAAGCTCTACCCGGAGCCTGTCCATTCAGCTCCACATGATTCCACCAGGGCCTCTCATAAGTGGTTTCCTGCTTGAACCGGCCAGTGTGGGTCCTGTTCTCTGCAGCAGACCCCGACTGAGACACCCCCACTCTGACTGTGACCTGGAGGGTGTGTTGTCTGCTTGACATCACTCTCGTTTGTCATGTGTAGCTCACGCTGGCCTTTCACACACATATAAATGCCTTTAGACTTAATCAAAGTGGTTCTTGCAATAAACTCATATTATGATATTTTTTGGCTTGGAATTTATACCAAATCTCAATTAAAACACAACAATGGAAAAACAAATGGAAAGCTCAACCATGACATAAGGAGAATGGGAGAGAGCAGGGTGTAGGAGCTGTGACAGAAGCCAGGTTTCTCTGCAGAAAACGTACAGATTTGATTTGGGAATCAATATAAATGCATAATTATGAAAATTAAGTCAAAATGAACAAAATAGAAATACCTAAAAAATCAAAAACAAAGTCAAACAAATGCATCTAATTTTGTGTCAGTTTGGTGGCTTAACCTTGCAGACAGAAATAATTTAAGAGAGCTTTAAAACACTATAATTTGACTATACACCTCTACTGGGGCATACTCTAAAGGGGAAAAAATTTAAAAAAAAAGGCGTAAACTGTATTAACTGTATTCACATTTTTGTAACAATATTGCTGTTGTTATCCTGAAACTGTAAGCTAAAGCAAATAAGTCATTATGTTTCTGTCCTTGGGAATCAAGATTTCCAGCCTGAAAGAAAAGAGATGCATGGATGAAGTGAAGAAAGTTAAGACCATGGGGTCTGAATTTGTTAAAAGATCAATATGAACTCATCTTAAACAATGTATTTCCTGGCCCGGACCACCGAAAAGACCAGAAACGTTGAGCCACCCAGTGACAGTCAGCTGACGTTGAGCCACGTTGAGCCATCACAGTGTCCAGACTGACTGTGGCCCCTCCTTGAAGAAATGGCCGGCTTACAGCCTGGGACAAACATGCACAAGATAAGCCCGGAGCACCTTATTATGCAGGAAGCCAGGAAGCTCTCCGTGACTGCTGGGATCATGTCGGAGAGACTCAAGAACGAACCTACAGATGCCTCCACAGACCAAAGAAGGCGAGGGATGAGTATCTGTACAAGAACAATGACTGCAAAGGATGGACCCATTGACTATGGTAAAAACTGCCAGTTTATAACATCCATCAAGTAAAACACTTATTGGTCACCTTTGGCTGATCATTGGAAACTGACTCAGGATTCCAAAACTTGGTAAATAAAAGGAAAGGCTCAAGCACATGACCAGCCTTCCTTACCAAGTTATACCCCAGAGGGACATGAGTTGCTGGGAAGCGTTTGCTCCCAGATGTGCTCCAGGTAACAGATAGAGGCTGAAGGGTAGCATGGCTGCACCACCGGTTTGCAACCTCTTCCTGGTAACTCACATCACCAAGCCAGAGGCACGGCCCTGGTGGTGAGGCCCTGAGGCACCTGGGAAGGATTCCTGCCCAGTCACCCCACCTGCGGCCCAGGCAGATGTTTCCAGAAAACCCAGGGCACATCCTGGGACATGCTGAATGGCATCATAGGGATGTGGTCACACCAGGCCCCTCCCCTGCTCAGGACCTGGAAAGGGCTCATCTCTCTTAGTGTAAAAACCTATCGTGACCAGGACCTGGAAGGCCTGCCCATCTGGTGATGATACTGTCCCCTTCTGGCTCTGCCCTCCTGTCCCAGGCTCTGTCCCGCTGGCCTCCGGGCAGCTCCTCTCCACCCAGTGTGTGCCCCTTGGAGGGCCCCCCTGGAACTCTCTGCCACCCAGAGGACCGTGTGGCTGACTTCCTCACATCCTTCAAGTCTGTCTCGGATTCCACCATCACATCACAAACCACCCACTCCATCTGCTCGCCGCTCCGTAGGCTGGCAGGTTGCACTGTGTCCAGCAGGGTGGGTCCGGAAGGACATCCTGCCTGGTGGCACCTTGGCCTGTGGTCATCTCATGGCTCCAACCTGAGATGGCCTCAGTCACAGGTCGGGTGGTCGGAAGGCTGTCGGCCGGGCCCCATGGCTTCTTCAGCAGGATAGCTTACACTCTGTCTGTGGTTTCCAGACTCCAACCACAGGACAAAGAGCAAGGGGTAATGCACAGCTGTC